TTAAATACTTTACGTTGTGTAATCAACATCCATGTATGATCTCTGAGGTTTGACACCTATCGTATTTTCATGTGGCATTCTCTTTCCAGAATTTTCACAATGTCAGTTCTAGTTAATCTAGTAAACACTGCAACAAGCTGCTCGACTGTTCTTTGGAGAGGCTTCCATACCAGTCCTGCTTGTCACCGTCTTCAAAAACTTTCCCGTTTACGTGTGGTCGACAACAGTGAGCTCGGAAAGCAAGCTATGTTAGAAGGAAAACCCCCTAGAATTATCCAGGTTTACAACAAAAATGGAATTGGCACTACTGGTAAGGATCTCACTCACAAGTTTTTGCAACGTGTGTCTAAAATTTTAGTTCATCACATTTAAATAATCCTTCTTATCTGATTTATCAGGAGATATTGTGCTCTGTGCAATTAAAGGCTTAAAGAAGAAAGGGGTAATTGTTGGTGTCAAAGCTCAGCAACCGGTGCTTTTACCAAGGACAGACTCGAACAATGTAGTTTTAATTGAGGATAACGGTACCCCTCTTGGTACTCGTATTGTTGTACCCGTTCCGAGTTGTCTACGGACAATACTGAAAAAGAAGACCCATGCGAAGGGAGCAGATTACACTAAAGTACTAAGTATTGCTACTAGGTTTGTGTAGCTTTTGTTCAATGTTTACTTTTTCTGTAATAATAGTGTTAATAAATTGTTATCTTTCAAACCATGTGTATTTTTTGTTGGTGCGTTTTACCACTAACAACATTATTGTTTATTAAATTACATAGATTCAGAATAAGTTTGTGTACTTTTACCTGTGTCAGATTATGTGTTCTCTGAGATCTTTAGAAGTGAAGTGTTGTGCTGTGCTTAATTGTACACTGGAAAGATTAAGGTGCTAAGTTGCACTTGAAAGAGGCACCAATTTCAAGCAATTATCGGGCCTTTTCGAAAGCATTAGACTCAAAGTTTCTGTAGCACTTTTGCAAAGGTGCGACCGTGCCCCGTAGGTTTTTGCACGTAATCTCGAGTGAAGCCGTCTGTGAGTAGGATGGGTTGCCTACCCGGCTGTTCGCGGCGGTACGAGGTTGCGGATCAGTTTTCCTGTTTATGTTGTTCCTCGGCATGCGCTGTGCAGCCTTTTAGTCACCCTGAAGGGCCATGATATTGAATGGTCTTATCGCCGGCCGGGCCGACTCGTCGCCATAGTCTTCGAGTGCCGTTTATCTACGTAGAGACTGCCCCTTGGATCGTAAAAGTACTTAAGGTGCACCATGAGAAGGTTTCAGCGATTTGCTCTAGCAAGTCTCGCAAGGATCGTGCTTGTGCCAACTCGGTGACTGACGCACCTTTTCCAACGCCTCGATCCTCCGCCATGACTCAGTGGACCCTATGGCTAGCGATGGCCCTTGTGGCCTTCGGGACGTCTGGGGCGACTAAGGTAGGCCTAGGACGACGGCAGACAGCTGTGGGTCACGACGAGAGAGGGTGCGGTTTGATTGAGAACGCATTTCCAGTTGCGCGCCGAGGCGGGGCAGGTGGGTGTGGAGGGTGTCGTCGACAACATCCTGGGGATGATGCACCGGGAGCTGGAACGCGTGGGCCTCGGCACCGCTGAGCTCCCCGACGTCGCGGGCACCGAGAACGGCCTGACCCTCGAGGCCACCGAGGGCATGATGAAGGGCCTGTTCTCCCTGGGCAGGTCGGGGGCCGCCGTCGTGGACCACGCCGCCGACCACGTCGTCCTCAACACGACGCTCAACCTCAGCACGCTGGAAATGAGGTGCGTTCCTGGACCGAAGGTCTTCTGCTTCCACCTGCGTGCGGGGCGTATCACTCTGCTTGGTCGTTTAGGCCCCACCCATTCTTTTACGTCGTTTATAATGTTGCGATTGTTTTTGTGACGCGGGGGAGCCCCCTCGCTGCTGCGGTGGGCCGGGTGGCGGGCGCCAGGCCGGCCAGCGTCGGCTGTTTGTTCGGAAAACTACTACTGCTGGGACACTCGGGGGACGGGCAGCCGCGTGGAAGGGGACCAGGCGCCGCGCCTCGCGTGGGAAACTTGTTGCCTCGTAATTAAGAAATAGGAAGATGGAACGATTATTTCTGGTCTCATATGCGACGGCGACGAACCTCGCCGCTCCACCCTCCCCGACGACGACTCCCGAAAACAAACCGAAGATCGCCCGATTTGTAATTGCGTTTTGCAAAAACATTTTAGCCGGCCAATTCCGACTCGGAAGGCGGGCGCTTCTAGGTCCAGCCTAGGACCTGTTTTGTTTGCGTTGGTCAGTTCTTCCTGAGTCACGCACGTCACACATCCCACTTAGGACTTATCTCATAGCAACGCATTCTTTTCGCAGTTACAAAGTCCACGCCAAGTACCTCTTCTTTTCGCTCACGAGTGACGTGGGCGCCACTATCGACAAGAACTCCATAACGTTGTCGGTGGGCATGGACTATAGCAGCCCTGCGTGCCTCTTCGGGGTGCAGAGCGTGTCCGTGGACGTCCTGGACGGCATCCAGTGGAAGACGACCGGTTTCAACACCATCAACAAGCTGGTGTCGACCGTGCTCAACATCCTGGTGCCGCCGGCCAAGGTGAAGGGCTGGATCAACGACGCGCTCAACCAGGCCATCAACGACTTCAAGGTGCCCTGCCTCTCTCTCATCCCCGGCATCGGCAATGGCACATACCGCTGTTAACGACAATAAACACCAGTCTTCTAAAATGCTGCGATTATTTCTGATCCTGCATGGTAGCTCATGCTCATGCCCCAGTCAGACCCAAACATTTTTTTTACCGGGTAGTGGCTTTCTTTCCCCGGAAAGTACAGTCTTAAGGTCCTTGAAGTCCTCACTTCGCGAAGCATCGCTTCCTCTATCGCTTCCGATAGCGCCTGCCAAGTGTCGGATAGGCCGACCCGCCGAGCAGCTGTGTGAAGACGGCGGCCAGCCTTTGGCCCGCCGGGAGCCCCCCGAGTGCAGAAGCATCGGGCGGGCAAGGCGTTTGTCACCGAGTGTCGCGCAACTTTACCGATAACCTCAGGGTGTTAACGATGTTGGCACCGGGTGTATCAGAGTGAACGCTCTGCAGCTTTGGGGGGTTGCCACTGCCGGACCGAAAACCTGTGCGTCAACACTGACGTGGGTATTACTGTTACTCTTACTGTTATACCGCTTGTCTCTATTGCAAAGCACGCACGGCGCTCCGGCGCTGGCGAAACCACGCAACTCCGCGGAGCCTCCGTCAAAGCACGCACAGCGGTCCGGCGCTGGCGAAACCACGCAACTCGATTTTTGGGGTGATTTTTGAGACCTATACCGTTGGAAAGAGGATGATTCCTTCTTCCAGAATATATAGTTATCTCAGATTTTTTGAAAAACATCGATACGTGGTTTCGCCAGCGCCTAAGAACATTGCGTGGTTTCGCCAGCGCCGGACCGCTGTGCGTGCTTTGACAGAGGCTCCGTGGAGTTGCGTGCTTTGCAATAGGGACAAGCGAAACATCGCCAAGTACAATCGCAACATGAAATTTGTT